GTGTGGGATCCGAACTGGGGCCCTGCTGCTCAGAGCTGGCATCCCAAGCCAACTCCTAATCAACAGGCCACTCGGTTGGCCCTCTAAGTTTCTTAAAATGTGATTATCTTGATTATAAAACATGAAAATACTCTAACCAATTTTCTAAGTTAGGCAATTAATACATTGAGTTAACTCAGAAATGAGGAAGGCCTACTTACACATTTGAGTGCTAAAATTTTGGGCCATGATCCTACCCTGCATATTGACCTACACTGGGGTCACGCTGGTATAGCACTTTTCTTTTAAAATAAAGTTTATTGGGGTGATAACTGTTAGTAAAGTTACATAGGTTTCAAGTGCACAATTCTGTAATACGTCATCTACATATCACATTTTGTGCTCACCACCCAAAGTCAGTTCTCCTTCCATCACCATATATTTACTCCTTTCACCTTCATCTACCGCCCCTTCCCTCCTTACCCTCTGGTAACCACTAAACTATCGTATCTATGAGTTTTTGTTTCTTCATTTGTTTGTCTTGTTCCTTTGTTGCTTTCAGTTTTATATACCATGTATCAGTGAAATCATATGGTTCTCAACTTTTTCTGTGTGACTTATTTCGCTTAGCATAATAATCTCAAGATCCACCCATGTTGTCGCAAATGGCATTATTTATAATCTTTTCTTATGACAGAATAGTATTCCATTGTGTATATATACCACATTTCTTTATCCAATCATCTATCAAAGGACATTTTGGTTGTTTCTATGTCTTGACCACCATAAACAAAGCTGCAATGAACATCAGAGCACATATATCTTTACAGATAAAATTTTCAGATTTTTTGGGTAGATACCGGAGAGGGATTGCTGGGTCATATGGTAATTCTATTCTTAATTTTCTGAGGAACCTCCACACTGCCTTCCATAGCAGCTGCACCAATCTGCATTCCCACCAACAGTGTATGAGGGTTCCTTTTTCTCCACAGCCTCTCCAACACTTGTTATTATTTGTCTTGTTGATGATAGCCATTCTAATCCGTGTGAGGTGATATCTCCTGTGGTTTTTATTTCTCTGATGATTAGTGACATTGAGAATTTTTTCATATGTCTATTGGCCATCTGTGTGTCCTCTTTGGAGAAATGTCTACCTTTTCTAA